ACACCACAACTGATTATAATTATTGGGATGTTTCAAGAACCGGACAAGCAGGTTGCAACTCTTTAGTTATAAAGTGTAGTACATCTGCTCCTATGTTCTTTTTACTCCTTTCAACCCAGCACATTAAAGTGTAGACATTAAAAACAAAATGTGCTAATTAATAGAGCTTAATAGAAGGTACACAACTAATAAAGTGATGTTAGTTGAAAAGAAAAGGTTTAGGAGATTAGTGAAAAGGCTCTTTTGAACTGACTAATAGGGACTTATTTTTTTAATTAAAAGAAAACACACCCAAATGGAAACGTGGAAGATTAGTTATATTGACCTGACCACTCTTCTTATTTACATATACAAGAGTGAGTGGAGAAAAGCGACAGCTGTGCAGACACGAGGCCTGAAACAAAGAAAGTCAGGTTATACACCAGGTGTGGGCAACTCCAGGCCCCGAGTGCCGGTTTCTCCCGCAGGATTTAGATCTCACCCTGGGTCAACCCACGTGAATCACATAAGCAGCTCATTACCAGCCCCTGGAGAACGTCAGGACATGTTGAGGGGGGCATTTAGCAGTTTAAATCAGCTGGGTTGGTTCAAGGACACATCTAAAACCTGCAGGACACCAGCCTTCGAGGTCTGAAGTTGCCCACCGTTGTTATACACAGACACAGAAAGCTCACTGAGGACACCTAGTGTACAGGTGCTGTGCAACAATTTTTTTTCAACGTCTTAAACAAAGAAAAAAAGTAGAGGCAAACCGAGGAGGTGTATCAACCAAATCTTTTAGCTTGTATGCTGTTTTTGCTAGACCTTTTTGGCTTGTAAGTCTTGAAAAGGAAGTAACACCTCTTGCTATACCTTGCAAACAGTAAGTGTTTCATATATATATATATATATATATATATATACACACACATATGTATACACTCTATATAGACACGCTCTATAAAATCTATGCATTATGTGTCTCCAGAGGGCTTGAGAGGTGATAGCATATCGGCATATTTTTATAGTAAAAGTGAACCAAATATCTGAAATACCAAAAATGCTGGGATTATTTAATTTATGGGACAGACACTTACCAATTTGAGTTAAATGATGAGCTCTTATTACATTAATTTGATTTGGTTGCAGAGTGTCAAAATTCCCGCATATCTTTTTATATTCATCGCAAAATACCAAATATCCCACAATGAAAAAGCCTTGAAAGCATGTGAATTTGAGAACCTACTTAATTCTCCAAGTTGGAACATCAGTCCATCATCTCCAGTGATTTGTTGTTTGCTCTGAGATGAAAACGAGCTGCAGATAAAACACTTGTGTTTTACCCTGAATAAATTCTTTAATTCTCATTTTCAAAAGATTTCTGAATGACTTTAAAGAGAAGGGATGGCAAAAAGAGAGATTAACACCAGCTGCTTTCTGCATCTAGTTAGCAGCGAAGCCCCTGTGTCCCAAATTTTCATGGAGAATACGTTCTTTTGTGAATTGTTTTTGCCCATCTGGTTTTGTTTGCAGCTCCATCCCAGAGGACTTGTTTACAGCTCTGTGCATCTTCTCAGAAATCAGAACTCATACTCTGACTTGCAGTTTTACTGTGTGATCATGTACACAGATGAAAGGTTTCTGCTTGTTTGCCTCTTTTGTGTATTTATGAAAGTCTTAAGAGCGTGAGGACGAGACAGATGTTTGACACGCTGTTATGCAGTGTGTCCAAGTATTGACGTGATTGGTACAAATGTTGGAGTAGCAGGGAGTTTACATGTCAGTGCTGGCAGTGATGGGATGGTAATGTGTGCCATCAATTTTCACCCTGGTATAAATCATGCAGACCTGACAGCGACAGAGACACCATATAAGAAACTGTGCGGAGCAGAAACCAGAATATGGTGAAAGTAAGGTCAACACCAAGCACCTCAAACATACTCAACACAATTTATAGGGAAACCACTGGAAATACAAATATCATAAAGTGAAGAGAAGCCATGTGAACTTAATATTAAGTCTCTTTCAGTTATAATATAGGAAAAGTGGTAAACCGTACAGGGAAAAACCGTAATAAAACTATCTGTTATGCATACTTATAGTTTTACAGATGCATTTGTCTTAAGAGGCTTAAACTATTTAGAGCACATCTGGAGCTGCTTTAGATTTAACGTCCTGCTCTGACCCGTGTGCTGCAGGTGCTAATAATCAATAAACTGATTTACAGTCAACATGCCTTCTATTGACTTTAGCGCCAGGATAACATATCAAATAGCCATTCTTCAATGAGAAAGTGGACTTCTATCAGAATCATACAGTGATAAAAACAGTTTGTATGTATGGAAAACATTTTTCCCAGTACTCATTAACAGTTTAGAGATTTTGCCCTGTGAGGTTGGTTAAAACTACCAAATGTTCCAATTTGATTGAAGTAAGTTTACTATGAATTATACCTAAAGCTTCTTTAATCATAGTAACCATGAAATCTACAGACGTGAAACTAGCCGGCATATGTGTGGTTTACTAAGGTTAAAACTTTCTATTTAAACGATGACTATATATATTAAAAAATGCCTTAAATCTATGTATATTATAGCTAGACTATAGTGATATACATGCCCAAATTATGACTAAAGACTCAATACTTCACACATACAACATATTACATGTAGAAGGTGCAAGCTTCCACCAAGACAGCTCACTCCTGGGCAGTTTTTTATCCTAAAAAAAAGAAATGCTCTCGTATTTTCCTTTTAAAATGTAAAGTCCACGAGCAAATATAGGTAAATTTACCTGAAGATAATGTAAACAGGCTACAGCAGTCTGAGAGTGTAGTATAAAACGGTGGTCCTTTTGTTCTTGATCAGCCAAAAGGGACAATTTATTTACAAGAACTCCATCCTTACCACACCAACAAACTCCCAAACCGATTTTACCAGTCAGTGTAAAGTTTCTTATCTTATATATCTAAAAACAGGAGCAGATAAAGTAGGTCAGTATGGTACAATGATGTAGCCCAAATTTGTCCCACACACAATATAAATTTTATTAATATTATTCTTTTTGAGATTAAAATCTATTTTTGTAGATAAATATCAAAGTGCCATTTCAAGAAAAAAGTTAAAATAATTGTCACCCTTGTTCGAGATTAAACTTGAAATATTATTTCAACTTTTCTTTCAAAAATACTATCCCAAAATAGTACTTCAAGATTTATCTCTATTTTTTCATTTTAGTTTCTAAACCAACAACAATAGAAAAAAATATTCTAAATAAAAACAACTTTTTTGTTTCTTTTGATGAAAAATAAATGCTTGAATGTTAGATGTTGATATTTTTGAGTGATCATCTCAAAGTTTCAACTCAACAACACAAAAATCCAAGTTCTTTAGAAATACCTAACTTGAAATTCTGACTTACAGAGGGCATGGGGTGGCTGTACATCAGGAGGTAATGCAGGTCACCTACTGATTGGAAGGTTGGTGGTTTGATCCTTGGCTCCTCTAGTCTGCATGTCAAGCCCAAGTTGCTCTCCGATGCATCCATTGGAGTATGAATGTGTGTGAATGTAGTTAGAAAGCATTAAGTACAGAGAAAGTGCTTGTGTGATTGGGTGAATGTGGCATGTTATATAGAGCGCTTTGAGTACTCTGGGAGAGTAGAAAAGCGCTATATAAGAATCAGTCCTTCCATAGCTTCCATACATACTGGCTGCAAGGACAACATAAAATGAAAGCACTTCAACGTTTCTCTGTTTTATTAATATTTTCCCTCTAACTCAGATTGGGGGCCAATCATATTTAGACTCACCACATACCCCCCCTCTGGACACGCCCCTGGTCTAAGTCGTTTTTTTAAACTTTTTTTTTTTTACTTCGTTGCTCACTGTTAAAACACTACAGACTCAACGAGCGCTTCATATGCAGCATTATGAAAGAGCTTTAAAAGCAGTAACAGATGCTTACAGATGAACGTATATTAGCTCACGTCGAGGGGAGAGAGTTCGTGCGTGCGCGCGCGGGCAGCTAGGCAGCTGCAGCTCTTGAGCCGACAGCTCTGCAGTGACAGTGGGAAGTACAATCCGCGTGCAGTCAGCGCGAGGCAAAGACCTACTGACAACAAGCTGATGAGGGGACACCACACGGTAAGAACAGCTGGCCTGATGTGACTTTACTGCACTTTTATGAAGTTTTTTTCACGATTTTTTTCGCTGTCATGGAGTTTAACGCGTTAGCACGTTTGAAACAATATGATGTGTTTTCTCCTAACGAAGCCCCCACCACCCAAAAAACAAAAAAAACCCCAGAAAACTAAGAGTTTCTGTAAATGGACTCCAGCTGATGTATGATGGATGCAAATGTACAGTGACCTGTCAGGAGTTTTATGATAAGTGAGGAAAATCATCGCTGGGTGGAAGAAAATAGTTCCACGCTGTCCTCAAGAAATGTTATTATCAGGTCTAATCTTACCTCCGTATCTTGGATTACACAAGAACTTATTCTGATTGTGCAACAAGCATTTGAGTAAGGCAATTAAGAGCTATACACTATAGTGAGCTCATGCCCAAATGGTTCCCTGTGATAGTTTCCCTCCTGTTACTTATGGGACTTTTCCTTTCCACTCCTCTGCAGTCTGCTGATTTATGTAATGTAGCTGGAATGAAAAGTGCTGCGCGGGGGGTGGAAATCTGGCTTACTGAGAGGCAAACCGATGAGGAGGCTTGTTTTAATCATTAGTCTTATGGTGTCACTGACATGCAGCTTGTGCTGGGAATTGATGGTTTTGAGATGTACATTGAGGTGGGGAATCACTGATAATTTATTAACTTAATTTAATGTTATATATGTGACTCTTAAAGGAGCAATAAACAAGATTTTTGGCTTTTTCAGAAACCACTAAGTTACTTTAATATGCTTTTGGGAGGTTGATCAGGTTGTTGGTCAACACCGATGACTCACAGATTATTTCACCAGATGCTCAGATTGTTTGTTCAAGTTCTCACATGGACCATGGTGCTACGAGCGGGAAATCAGCAGCAAGCCAAGGTTTGTTTCTACCTAAAGTATTTGTTTGGGCTGACAGTTGTGCTGTATGTTCGCCTCAACTTCTCACCGGGGAGAGAAAATAACAATAACATTTCAGTTTTAGTGGATTGTTTTACTATTGCCGCTTTCAAAATGTAAACGGCAGATTCAAAATGTGTCATTGGGTTACAGGGCTGGACTGGGACAAAAAATCGGCCCGGGCATTTTGACTAGAGACCGGCCCACCAGGTATTATAGGAAAAACCATAAAGCCTTTGAATGAAAACAAACGCTGTTGTCACAGTGATGTACACTGTCTTGTTGGTATACATGTATCAGTCTAATAAACTTAAACCTACACCATCCTCCCTATTCTGGTATTCTAAACTGTACCCGAAAGTAGACTGCTTGGTCGAGTTAACCTCCTAAACTATCTAGAACACATGGTGAAAACCTGAAATTAAGACAGAGGAGACTAGAGGTGAGACATGATCATTACTGATGACAGATTTAGATATATTTTCATAAACCATTCATTTGCCACATCAATAAACAGCATGGCAGGGCAAAATATTTTTTCTAACATGGCAACCTTTAAAAAGTGAAAGGAGACAGAAAGACAGGTGAGAAAGAATACAACTTTCCCCTGCACAGTTACCAGCTGTCAGCTACATAAAAAAAGGATCCTGGGGTTATTTGTCTCTCAGAAACAGTTCATAACTTCCCTTCAACTCATTCATGTCACCTAAAAGGTAAACCTGTTTCTCCATCACCTGTTCAGCTCTGATGATCCAGTAAGAACATCTCCTGGTTTCATCTTCATGTTTCCCTCTCACCAGATAACCAAACCGATATCATGACCAGCAGCTTTACAGCTGTGGCTCCAGCAAACATCAGCTGATACTAGAAATTAATATTAAATAAATTCTAACAACAGCTGATCAAGCTTAAACGTGCTGCTGTTGTTTAGCGCGACATCCGCTGGTTTCCTGTTTCTGGCGCAAAGTGAGCGATAAACAAACAAGAGAGCCGATCAGCTGATCATTGATCAGTTTCATGATTGAAGTAGAAACAGGAGAGGGAGGGGGGAGAATGAGAGAAGAAGAGGCAGCTGTGCAGCAAAAACAGAATAACTCCAGCTTTGTGTCTTTTTCATTGTAGCTGAAGTCCAGGACAAACTGTGCTCCTTTTCACCTCAATACGAAACGCATAATATTTTCTCTGAATACCAGACGATTCCGTTTTTTACGGGACGGTTGGAAACTCTAATAACTAACCTTATAAATAAAATAAGATAAAACAAGTTCAACATTAATAACATCATAGCACCCGCCCAGCTGTATAGAAACTCCGTCATGCTAGCTAGTACGCCGTACGAGTTGTTGTAACTGACCGTGAAAAGTCAGCATAACGAAAATAAACTCCACCTAAACTTGGTTTATATCTGACCCAGATAGACTGCAGGTCATAACTTCTTACCTAAAGTTCAGTTCACCGCCTTGGGTCTCTGCTCCTCCTGCCTTTCCGTCATCCACCTGCCAGCGTGTTGCATCTGCTGGCCTCCACCACTTGCTAATGTTACTGAATCTGTAGAAGCTCCGCAATAGCCACCACCAAACAACTGAGTTATTTTTACACATCTCCCTTCATCTGGCCAATCCACCACCTTTCAGTGTTTATACCGTTACGGAAAAAAAACGAAAAATCACCATCGGCCCACCGGGCAAATGCCCGGTATGCCCGATGGCCAGTCCAGCTATGTTGGGTTACAACATGGCTGTAACCCAGTTCCTGAGAAGCCCCCTCTGATCCCCAGTATATATTGAAATGTTATCATTTCCCTTAGGAACTGAGAGACCAAAAAGCTTTGTAGTTGGAAAAATATGTTGGTTAATGAATTGTTTAGCGGCATCATTAATTACCTCTGCTGAATGGGTTATGGAATTGGTTCGGTTCGTTTTTCCGTTTGTTAGGGAGATTACTTATTTGCAGGTTTTTGATGTTTAATAATGCAGCAAGGTTTTTTTTTTTTTTAAAAGAATACAGTTTCCTCTTAAATATATTACTTGAGTTCTTATCTTTGCTCACTGTCTTTTTTAGTGATAATATCTGACTTCATGCTGCTGTTTTAAATGTTAGACCTCAAGCAGAGATTAATGCACTTGAAAAACAACTTTTTAATTACAACACATCATTATTTTCAGAAGTCTTGGGCAATTCTTCATGTCATGTCATGTCATTAATGCTGTCACCATCAGTTTTGTATTTTCTTTTCTTTTTTTGCCCTTAGATTTAGAATGAAACTGATGCTCTTGGATTCAGGAAATATTGATGCAATCTTTACTATTTTTTGACCTTTTATATAAAAAAAAATGTTAAAGGCAAGAAAAAGGTTCCCCAAAGCAAAAATGCATTAAAGATTTTAGATTGCATCTTTGACATCCTTATTGTTCTCAGCCAGTTTCAAAAGTTCATCACTGACAGATTTTCCAACAGGGGATTCACCGATCTAGCCTTTGGATTAAGAGCCGATGTTGATCTACTCTTGTTCTTTAGCCTTTATTTATATAAAGGTGTGTAGATTTCCAGGTGAGCTCACATTAGTCCCATCTTAACTCAAAACACTAAGTCCTGTGTGTCCTGTGTGTCTGTTCTCCAACACAAGAATAGACTTAGCGGATCCCTTGCTTTAAAACAGGACCTGTTTAATTACGTCCTGTGTTTTACTCCTTCACTCTTCCCACACCACTGCTACAACATGGTAGAAACTAGCAGCTAGTTTGGAGCTATTTCACACTTGTTATAGCAATAGCTTTTATTTGTATGTTTGCAGCACTTTGGGATTTAACCTCAAGCTGTTAAGTCAGCTAAGTAAGGTCAAGTGAATTGACACAACTGAAAAGTTCCACTGGCAAATCTTTCCTTGTTAGTTTCGCTCTCTTGCTAACTTTCACTATAGCTATGTTTGGTTTGACGCTTTAGAGAAGCTTTTATTGCATTTATGGTAACATAGTGTGTCTTACTGAACCCTCAGTCAAGGTGTCAGTGTTGTATCAGAACTGGAAAAAGTTGCATTCATGCATGTTTGTTTACTTATTTATCTGACGTTTCGTTTATCTGATGTGCTGCTGTTGATTTCTGAGCCAAGTCAGAAGATGTATATAGCTAATATTCAGAATGCGTCCTTGTTTATCTTTTTAAGATGCAACATTTTAATACAAACAGTACTAAAGTACATTAAACATAAACACAACAACTAAAAGCAGCAACTGGAAAAATGGCAATCGCTAAAAAAACGTAGATAATTGAAAACCAATCTAGGAGAGTGTTGCCAAAATTGTGCAAAGCTGCTTTTAATGTGGCATTTTCCCCAAATGATCTTGAAAATCTCCTCAAAACTGTAAACGCAAATAAATTCTTGAAATAAGTTTGTTGTAATGCAGTCAGTTACTGCTCCTCCTTTGATCATCTAATATTCCACCCACTTCTCTAAATTTGTGTAAAACCAGCTGATGGGAAAAACCTGCTGATTCAAATTTGTCTAAAATCTGATCAGATTTTGGCTGGGGAAAAAAAAAGGCTAATGCTATTCCCTCTGGTGGCCATTAGAGGTCTTTCAAAGTCATACGCTTTGTTTCGAAAGACCTCTTAATACTTGTGTTTACATTACGTAGGGAAGGATGACCTAATGTATTTAATTAAGAGTTCAAAGCTGCAGCGAACCCTGGGTCATATGGGATGAATTAGTGTTAGGCAAGAATTTAATTTGCTTTTTCATACATAAATATTTGTTTCCACATCTTTGAAAAAACAGCCTGGAGTCTGAATTTGTCACATCCGATCTCATGCTAGTTCGAGCTGTTGTTTTATGACAGAGCATGTTGATGAAATGGGTCGTCACTTGTTTTTCTCAGCTGCCCAACCCCTGCATACCTTTCACGGACATTAACAGTTATTGCCCTAAAAGCACAGAGTCATTTTGGTTTCGTTCAGAAATATTATTCCTGGCCAGAGGTGCGTTCTCTTTTGCAACACCCGAGGGTGACACAGCTGGGTAATACAACTCGCTTCAAGTATCCGAGGTAACTGTTTCAACATTGTTTCTGGTGTTTATTAACTGCGGGCTAATGTCTTTTTAAATCATGTTTACTTGGGAAATTATTTCAACTCCCAGAACTTTTCTTCTTTGCGCAGTCCAGTGAATTAGTGGGATTATAGGAGTTCCAGTTAATACAAGGAGGGTACTTTATCTGTAAATGACAATTATAAATCCCAGATTCATGCTCAAGGTTATTTTCACAGCACATGAAAACAGATGTATTAAATGTGTGCGGCAGTGTATGAATGTATCTATAGTGTCTCTGGTTTAGAAATGAATCCAGATTGTGTTGCAGGGAAAGGCTCCTCCTTGGGCTTTGGTGATTTTGTGTTGGACTTGATTGAAACTTGGATACCTTAAATAGTTAAATGCATTAGATGTCAATGTTTGAACAAGAGATAAAGCAACAGTGAATGATCTCAAACGATGCCTTAATCACTTTCGACACTATACTGGATTGTGCATTAAAGCTTTTTAAAAATTTTTTATTCATTTGGTTCCCAGTATTTAAATATGGTTTATTATAAAGCAAATAGTGTAAATGTAGTGGCATACAAGAGATACGATACTGATACAGGTACAACCCTTTCCCCCTCAGCAGCTGGTAAGCTGTAAAGCAGGGTTTATGCTTTCCATATCTATGAGTCTGCTGTGGTCTATATAGTCCGCTGGGGTCCCAGTCATGTAAATTTTGGAGTTTGGAGATAGTTGGAGTTGGTGGGTTGGTGGTCCGCGCAGAATGTACATCACAGTGCACCAACTATGGTTGCACCCAGGCAGCAAACTTCAAGTGGACTTCAAAGACTGATGCGCCATCGAGTCTCCAGCTGTCCATGTCCACAACAGAGTATAATCTAGGCGTCACATATTACTAAAGTTAAAAGGTGGCAATAATGCACCCAGTAGCTTTTTAAGCTACCAT